AGGAACACTGACCGGCCAGATGCCTCGGCCGTCCACCTGCACGACTTCCAGAGGTTTCTCTTACACGAGCAGCAGGTGAGAGGGGCATAGGTCTGGCGGGCTCTCATAACCCAGACCTCACAGGGGTCACAACCCCACAAGAATGGTGTGGAGCATGGACCTGGCCCACCCACCCTCAGCCTGACCCTCCCCCCAATCCCCCTTACTCCTCTAAATTTCCACGAGGGTTATCTCCACTCAGACCTCACCCACCGCCCAGGCGATTTTGACGGCTACTGTAGTGACATTATCAGCTGGAGTAGAAGGACCTCCTTGGATGTCCAAGGCTGCTGTCCTTACAGAGGCACACGGTCTCATCTCACAGCTGAGCAAGGGCTGGTGGGCTCAAACCTGCAACCTTTCAATTAGGAGCCCACCGCTTAGCCCCTGGTGCCAGCAGAGCACCTCTGACTGAACACACAGTGGGTGGGTGCCTAAGGTTGCCTGCTGCCCCGGTATCATGCCGCTCTCATTATCATAACTGCCTCGCGTCGTGCCTCTGAGGAGCCCTGGTGGTGTATTTGTTTTGCCGTGGGCTGCTCACTGTTAGGTCAGCAGTTCGAAACCAGCAGCCGCTCTGTGGGAGAAAGACGAGGTTTTCTACTTGTGTCATAGCTATCGGCTTGGAAGGTTGCAGGTGCAGCCTGTAGGATTGCTGGGGGCTGGAGCCCACTCAGTGGCGGTGCGTGTTTTGAGTGGGGTACCCCACGGCAAGTTGATGTGGGGTGACACCCAGAGGATAGGTCCAGACCTTCAGAGTCTTGGTAGCGGGGCCCTGGTGCTGCTAACCGAAAGGTTGGGTGGTTCAAACCCACCAGCCGCTCCGGGGGAGAAAGATGGCGATGCTCTGCTGTTGCCAAGCACAGCAGTTTCCAAAACCCTCGGGGACAGTTTGGCTCTGTCCCCACAGTTCTAGGGCTCTCTGTCTGACCAGTAAGCCTGGCCTTTCCTATGATTTCGGATCTCATTCTGCATTTCCTTCCACTCTGTCCAGTGTCTCTGGGCCCTGAGCCCCACCAGCGCGGTCAGCTTGGAACTCGTGGCATCTTGGCTCTGCGGGCCGAGCCGGGCCCGACGGGTGAGCCGACTGCCCAGCCCGTGTGTGGTGACTTCATATTTGTGTTTTCCAGGAGTCGTGGGCACAGGATCTCAACAAAGTCCGCGAGCGGATGACGAAGTTCATTGACGACACCATGCGGGAGACGGCCGAGCCCTTCCTGTTTGTCGACGAGGTGTGTGGGCTGGGCTGCCGGGGCCTGCTGCCCTCTGGGCCTACTTCTGGGCTCTGCTCCATGGGCTTTGCTTTCAGTGATTCTCTTGGGAGCTCCTCTCCTTCCCCGTTAATGGCTAGAGGAGCCCTGGTGGGGAGGGGGTGATGCTGCGATTGGGCTGCTAGCCACAAGGTCAGTAGTTTGAAGCCTCCAGTCACTCCGTGGGAAAGAGTTACAGTCTTGGAAACCCACAGAGGCAGTTCTGCCCTGTCCTACAGGGTCCCCATGAGTCAGGACTGACTGGATGGTGGTGTGGGTGTTTTTAAAATTGGTTTGGTGGGGTCGTGG